AAAAGAGGAGAGAGGGGGGGAAGGGGGGAAGGGGGGGGAAGAGAGAGGAGAGGAGGGAGAGGGAAGAGGGAAGGGGAAAAGGAGAGGAGAGGGAGGGAAGGGGGAAAAGGAGGAGAGGGAAGGAGGGAATAGAGAGAGATAGGAGAGAGAGAGAGGGAAGGGAAAAGAGAGAGAGAGAGGGAAGAAAAGGAGAGAGGGTGGAGAGGCAATATGACCTTAATCTTCCCCCAAATAACGACCCTTATTTCGCGGTATCTACAGACCGTGTGATCAAAATATAAGATGAGTCAGGATATTTCTCATCATGGGTGATCTGAAGGAACTTTTTATGGTTATTGAGATTTGCTATTTATCGGCAATGGGAGTTTCTCACTGTAAATCCGAGACTTCCTGAATTTAAATGTAAAATTGCTGAATAAACTTTTCGGATCATTTGTCAGATTAGATCAGAGAGGAAGGGAAGGAGGGAGGGAGAGAAAAGAGAGAGGGGGGGAGAGAGAGAGAGAGAGAGAGAGAGAGAGAGAGAGAGAGAGAGAGAAAGAGAAAGAGAGAGAGAGAGATGGGGGAAGGACGAGAGAAGGGGAAAAGAGGGACGGAGGGAGAGAAAGTAAGAGAGAGGGGGAGGGAGGGAGAGAGAAAGAAATAGATAGATATAGAGAATATACAATCATGTAATATAAATATCTAAAGCTAACAAAGTCCTTGACAAATTCCTTGAAGATTGAAAAAAATCGTATAGGAAAAAATACACTTTCCTTGTCATACGAGGACAACAAATACTTTTTTTTTTATTATTTCTACAGAACCCGCCCCTTATCGTGAACATACGCATGCTAATAACGCCCTCATACCAACACGCAATAAGACCCCGAATTAAATACCAGTCACTCATCCCACAACACCCTTCTTGACGTCAGCGAAGGGCGGAGGTGCTATCATGTCCCCCTGAGGTGTCGCATGACTTTATAATTCCTGAATCCTGTTTCAATGACGGGAAGATGACGACGGGCTGCTGTCACGTCGTCCTTCTGAGGAAAATCGACTCTTGGAGAGGCAATGATCGTCATTTCCTTTTTACTCGACGCCATCAGCTACAGTGGGTCGTCGTGGCCTTCGCGATGGGAGAGAAAGGGGTCTTCTTTCCCGTGCTTGCTTGCAGAGGGAAAATAAATACGTTTTTATTAATGATTTTGAATATTTGGTCGTGGCTGTACGAGGCCTAGTGGGTTTCTCATTGGGCTTCCGTGAATTTTCTGTCGTTGTCTAGCGAGCAACAACATTCTTGATACGTATGGAAATTATCTTTATATGAATATGTAAAGGTAAAAATAACCGACAAACGCTAAAACACGAATCACTACATAAAACAATTAAAATAACCACATAACCTACAACCTACACCGACTCAGACGTTTCAAAATGACGCGTCCTAATCAATCCATTGTTTCGGCTTCGACCAAATTGCCAAGATGACATAACAATAGAGGTTTTCTTCGCAGATGACGCGGGCGCTTCTGCTGCTGGCTGTGGTGGCCTTGGCGGCGGCGGGACCCATGAAGCTGTACGAAAAGACAGAAGCCGAGAAGTTCCAGAAAGGTCAGGCGGGAAGGAGGCGCATGGTGTTGGGTCAATTTTTTTTTTTTAAGTGACGGAATATATATTTCATTAATAAATGAAGAATGAATGGATGCTTTATGGTTTAATCTCTCTCTCTCTCTCATATATTTATATTCATATTCATATTCATATTTACATGTATACAGATAGATAGATAGATATTCATATATATACACATATACGTGTGTATGTATGTATATGTATATGAGATGTCCATTCCTTGGCTTCCTCGCTGACACCCGAGTTCCCAACAGTGCTCGTGCCTGTGTCTTCCACGGTGATTCCCCTGGACGACCTCCCCGTCTACAAGGTGGGCGTCGGGTTCGGCCTCGCCACGCCCGCCCCTGGCAAGTTCAAGCCCGAGGGCGGCACCAAGCTGATTACCAGTAAGTTGCGTCAGTCTCTTACGCTCGGTTCTGTCTTGCGCGAAAGTTGCGTTCGGTGGGGTTATTTTTGACGTGTGTTAAGCAGTGTTGTGGCTTTATCCAGGTTTTAGGTCATCGAAGTACAGTGGATCATCTCTTTAGTCGATATTAACTTTTTGATAATACATTAGTTCTCTTTTTAATGGGGTAGCAGTATGTTACATTTCTGTAAGCGTATACAGAATATATTTTTTAATGGGGTAGCAGTATGTTACATTTCCGTAAGCGTAATAATGCTCGGAAGAATTTCAGAGAGTAAAGGGCATTGAGAGAGAAAAAAAAAGCAGAAATGCACTCGCCTCTCGTGCGTAACTAATACTCCCCCCACACCTCATCGAATACCAAACATCACAACACTACCGCGACGCTGCCACATTCTCCCGTGCAATACCCAACCCCAAGAAACCGCAACAACAGGCTTTCAACACGACCCCGCAGGCGAGTCACGGGAGATGGCAAGTCGTGACAGTCAGACAGACACACACCCGAAGGCGCGCTGCTTGACGATAAGGGACCCTTCGCGCCGCTGGCTACCGTGGGAAGTGGAGGGTAGTCTTCGCTCTCCACGAACCCGCGCTCTCCGCTTTGCTTGGCTTCGGGCGCGCGAGTGAAATCGTTACGCGACTTTCGGGGAGTTTGCGCGCCGAGTTCAAGCAAAAAGCAAAAAGGGCGGAGTCTTTATGCGTGGAGGATGGCTTACAAATCAGATCGCTATATATTACGCGTTTTGTTGTTGTTGTTTTGTTTTTTTGCATTATACTTAAATTAGATTGTTAATATCGTGAGGATAACGTACCTAAACGTCTCCACTATTCTGAGATCGGGATAATTTCCTCTGATTGCACAATATTTCGCAAAACATCCTGGTGATCGAGCATGAGACAATTCCACAATATTCAATACTCCATAAGGTTAAATTGTAATTCACAAACTAATCTGAACAAGTAGTCTCAATTACTGTTTTGCATTTATTACGAATATTTTGTACGAACTACTACTGCAAGTTTAGCATTAAAAGTATTCTTCCCTTAGTTAAACTTTAAATTAATTCACATAGATATCACTCTGTGTCGTTTTTATTAGCAGTAAGTATTTATGGCACAAATCTAACCCCCCAAAAATTCTTTCCAGTCCACAGCGTCAAGAACAAGGCCAAGAAACCGAAGGAGTCCAACGCCGCCCTGATTGAGGAGGTGACGAAGGAGGAATACGAGAAACTCACCGCCCAGTAAAACCACCAAAGAACCCATTAACACAACCCAATAATCCCAGAATTAAAAATAAAACCTTACCGATGTAGCGCAAGATTAATAGATCCAGTATTCTACCAGGCATTTTTTAAGTCAAATACAGGGTTTAAAAAACAAATAAAAACAAACAAAACGAGGAAAGAAAGTGAGAGAAAGTCGTGACGGAAGCTTTCCGAAGGGCGTCGTGGCGGGGTGCAGCACCTCCCTCGGGCCGACGGGGTCCAAACGGGGCAAGAAGGGAACTAACGCCTACTCTACGTTATCGGCAGCGAGGCTATCTATACCTGCACCCTGCTACAGGTCGGCGGTGTTGGGCTGGCTCTCCTTCAGGCCGACTCACACCGCGGTAAATTCTCCGGGATTTGGGCTTCAGGGGAACAAAAAATTCTAATACTCGTTGGGAGACTTTTACTTCAAAGCCTCTTTATCGATTCGATAAGCCTTGCACTTAACCAAACTAGAGCAGAATGTCGTGTTTCGTGTTCATATTTACCTGAATGTACAGAAAGTATTAAAAAATAAATAAAATAAACAGAAAGGTTCTCATTCTGTTAAACAGCTTGATAATACGCAACCGAATTCACGTTTCACCTTTCTAAAGGAAACAGATAAAAGCTTTACGAAACCTGTGCCATTATGAGAAACTTTGCTGTGATCAAAAATTTTATACGAAATACTATTTTCCCACTAATAAACCTAGGAAATTGTGTCGCATTTTTAATCTACCCCTTTTCTAAAATGTCGCACTTCACATTACCATCAGCATTAGAGTGAAAAAGTCAATAACAATTATAGTGATGATGATAATAATATAGATACTAAAGAAGAGACCGAGAAGATGCGGCCAAATACCACAACAAGCGGTGTATACAACCCAAGGACTCTGGGCTCGGTAAGGAAATAGAAAGCGACGCGGCGGACCAACCTGCTGCTTGCATCCGACGGAAAATTACTACTGTTTAGAGGGAAACACCCAGACCTCAAGGGAAATCCTCCAGGAATCAGGGTGTAAGACACGGTTGCAGATGTTGTCTCCAACCAGGAAAATGAACATTCCAGCCTCTCTCGGCACCACACAGGAAAGGGTAATAACTTCATGGTACTACTGTTCATAGATCTCGTGTACAATCTGACTCTCTGTCTCTTTCCTTCTATTTAACTAACTACGCACGCGCCCCGCGCACGCGCGCGCACACACACACACACACACACACACACACACACACACACACACACACACACACACACACACACACACACACACACACACACACACACACACACACACACGAGAGAGAGAGAGAGAGAGAGAGAGAGAGAGAGAGAGAGAGAGAGAGAGAGAGAGAGAGAGAGAGAGAGAGAGAGAGAGAGAGAGAGAGAGAGAGAGAGAGAGAGAGAGAGAGAGAGAGAGACAGGTTCGCTAGTTGCACACTTACTCTGGAGAACTGTTTCTGCAAGATACCCATATCCAATAAATTTCAGTAAATTTGTTTCCCAATACAGACAAAAAGAAATGTATCAGAAATAAATGAATAAAGGATGGATGATTTACGTTATCCACGGTAAATCTGGAAGCAATACTTTATATAATATATAACTTCATCTTACATGAAATATGATTTACGATGACCACACAACCACTACAGAATTAACTATAACATCCTGCAGACTATTCGTTTATATTTCTGTCCAATGCATTATTTTTTTCTATCATGAGTCGTTGGAATTTTGTACTTTTAATATTCATCAAGATCATCAAAAGTATATTTATGGAGAGTTTTGGAATATACATACATAATACATTTATCTGTTGAATTCTGTCAAGTTCAAAATTAAGTGCATTTCGTAAATAAACTCAATTTACATTACTTTTTTTCCATTCATCTTATGACCTCTGTATATAAAAAATGTGATTTAATAAAACCCAAGCTGTCTAGACCTTTTTATTATATTTGGTGTTTTGAAAGATTATAGAGAGTCGAAAAGGGAATACATTCAACAAGAAAATAAAACAAAACAATTTGCATGAACTATTTCCAAATAAAACAGCTTTTTCCATATGACAAAAAAATCAATGAACAGTTGATTATGATATGTAATTAACTTAACCATGACGATGAATACATAACAATGAGAATATTTAGAATGAATGATGAATAACCACCTAGTTACAAATGAAATATAACCAAGGTCTTTGTAGGTAACACATAAGACTATCAGAATATCGCCTCACTAGCGCATATTCCAACCAAACATTTCTTGGCTATGAGGAATAGTGGATGATTAGCCATTATGTACAGGATATACATACATTTGTTATATGCAGTAAATGTATATCATATATATGGAATGTTCTTTTAACACCTGGAAAGGTGAACGTAAGGAGTTATGGAGGCTCGTTCGCTCTCTGGAAGAAGGGGCAGCGAACACATATTAGTATTTTTTCAATAAATTGTCTTCATTTTACGAATTTATAAGTAACACACGTCCATATATTATATATAATTATACTGTACATGAAAATTAATCTTTGGATGAGAAAAGATCTATATAGATCACAATCTAACTGCAATGTACACCATACATGAAACACACGGTTGCTAGTACATGCAGAGCTAAAAGCACCATTCAACAACATCTTCAACTGGATTATTGATGTCTACAACATATGAATGTACAAAAGGAGTTGGTAAGTCACTTTGGAGATTGTAAGTGCTGGGCCTGCAGATAGTGTGAGCCTGCACTGCCCATTATTTTCTGCTTTATATGACCTACAGTCAGCATTATCTTGTGCTGCCTGCACTGCTTGCTTCGCTAGCCTTCTAAAGCAAAGTGTTGCTTACACCATTGGCACTTACCTTACAGGCTGTGTACAAAGTCTTATCATGCAATGGCTCATCATACGTGATGTGGATCAAGCAGCCTTTTTTCGACCCTGCATTACCATTACCAGCCTTCTCGAATGGCCTGCAGCCGAGAATGTTCACACTAAAAGATTCTGGTGTCTACTTTATCACAAAAAATGTTTATGAACACAGTCTCCCTCCACTGTATGAATTTTGTACTGCCCAACACTCACTGGGATTTCAGGGTTCAACAGTTTTACATAAATACTATCACATGGGATACAGTCAAGGCCTCTTGTTCACTCTCTGCCTATAAATTTGTACTGATGCCGTATCATCATTAATATGCAAAGTTAAAAAAATGACTAGATTACAGAAGAGCATAAAATGAATTTTTTTCTTCAAAGTATATAAAAGTTGAGCTTATGAACCCATAATATTTTGGAATTCACATATATCTTCCAGCTTTTTGTAGATGATCGATATATGCAATACACAGTTTCACTTTTCAATGACCATTATGCAAAAAATTAGAAGGCCCACTACACTACCCCTTTCTCTCATACAAGCCCAGCACTTCCAGCTGATCTAGCCTCTACAGTTTCCCATATGATAGTCATTTGTATTCCATACAAACCACCATTCTCTCAGTCCCACATATGGGAGAAGAAGAGACCCTTTCACACATTCTATTCCTAATGTCCGCAGAACTAACAGGAAATTTAGAACATGTACAGTAATTTGTTGTTCTCAGTAGTACCATTCAAAATCTTTCATTTTGTTACCCTTTGAATCAAATCAATAATAAATGCATTTACTCCTACCTCTTTGTTTTGTTCCTCTCAAAAAGAGAAGAAAAAGGGAAGCTTTACAGGCTACATATACACAACTTCCCTTTACTTGCTTTGCTAAATTCCAAAGAGTATGAAAACTCTAAGCTATCACATTCAATCTCTCTCAATGATTTCCAACACCCATAACTCCAAATGAGGGATTTTTAATGTTGTTTCAGGAGGAACTGATGAGAACTACTCCTGATGCTTTGCCTTATCAGTAAGACTCAATGAGTACTATAAGTTCTTGGCAGTACTTGTATAGACAAAGCCACATTTGCCTCACAAGGCAACATTGGAGCTGGCACTCAGACCTCTATTTCTACTTCTACCAGTACGTGAGGCACATGATCACAAGTGGGCAGAGCGGAGTAAAAAGCCGCTATAAGTTGAGTAAAGTTGACAGGCAAGGTATACAGATGGGCATAATAATGCAAAATTACCATGGCATATAAATCTACACAAGAAGTAATGGTAAAAGAGTGATAGAATAGGAGGATCTCATCAAATAATGAGGTTAATGTAAGATGGCAACATATCTTAGGGAGGAAAGATAGGTACTAGATGGGTGTTAGGCAAAAGTACATAGTAAATATCAGGAAAGATTTCTATAAGTTAGAAAAAAATAAGTAGACAGTACATGATAACTTGTACATCCATTAGAGTCAGAGATTGAATCAAGAGTCAAAAGGGCATATATATGCTTGACTTGAAGAGTAAAGCCCACTAGTTACCCTCATACTAGGGAGATACTAGATTTTATTTTACAATCTACGTGATGTATTTGTGTAATGTATTACATCTTTGTAATAAGAGTATCCATGATGCCTGGAACATTCATATTCCCATTCAGAAAGTTGCCCAAGAGGTATTAGTAGATCTGAGAAACAAGAGACCATACATTTTCATTTATGTTTACATATGGTACATACTATATAGTAGGACATGATATAAAGCAGTGATATTGCACTGAATTTCGGAATAGAAGAGAGAATATGCCAAGGAGTGAGAAACTGTTAGACTTAATGTATCTCTAGGATGATTTACTTTGGTTAATATTATATGAATGGAAGTCCATGAATTTGTTATATATCCTACCTGCAAAGAATGCTTACACTTGAACCATTCAAGTTTTCTCTTTTTAAGCAGGCATTACAGGAGGCATTCTAGGTCAGGTGATGTTAAGAGGTTACACACTGTTCTAGGAGTCATGTTACCATACACACTGTCCATGTCATTCTTATACTGATGTGAAGACACTTCATGTGGTTTACTCGTCACACCAGCACAGTTCCGGGAGGTCCTCTGAGGGCAATGTCTTTTCACATGGCATTTAACAAAAGCAACATTTTTATACAGTTTTTACCCAGAAGGAATAGCACAATGATTCTCCCAGCCATTATAGACCACCATAACATTCTATGTTTTGTTTCTGGACTAATACAGCCTTAAGGCATTATAGTATCATTGGTATTCCATTCCCTTTACATTATATTCACTTCCTCAGATTTGGCTGACAGTGAAGCAACTGATGACCTGAAAGACAAGAAATCAAACCATGAAGTAGAGATCTCTATATCAGTAATGATTATTTCAAACTAATTCTGAACTACGGCTGCTCATACAGCTAATATTACAATGTGAAGACGAAAATCAAGTTAAATGAAGGCATCAAATAAGACTGAAACAAAAACTAACTTTGATGTTGCATGTTTCAGTCCTGAGGAGGATTCTTGACTACTGACTGACGGTGAGGATCTGCTGCCCTTTTTGAGGACCCGCTCTAAGTAGGCAGCTGGAGCCCAACCCTCGTAAGGCGTCCCAGAAACCCTGACGTACCACCAGCCAGCGCATCCAACTTTGATCAAGTCTACATAGTCTCCCTCACGCAGGCTGACTTCAGATCCTCCCATGGCATTGTAGTCAGCCAAGACAAGGAACCGTGACGAGGTGTACTGTAAATAGGGTATCTGGTATTAGATCTTGGCATTTCCTGAACTATGTATCCCAGGCAGTCCATGAATCTTAGCAGCAAGGTAACTGAAGAAAGTTCTTAGCAACCTACACATACCTCTGTGCTCTCAGAGAATGTTTCTTGATCCTCTTCCTCATCAGAAGCAGAATAATCTGATGACCAGCTCTCCTCTTCCTCTTCTGGAGCATCACCCAGAGTGGCATCCACAGACTTTATCCGCAGAGAGCGTTTGCCTATTTCCCGACTGGGCTCACCTCCAGGGCGGCCCTCAGAGCTGCTAGAACTGATAGAGCCACCACTGCCAGTCACACCATTGCCTGCTATGTCCCATGATGCCGTCTGTCGTAGAGCCCTGCGGAACATTAAATAAATAATATAAGTCAATACAATCAACAGTCAATCTCCTGTAGAAAAGGTATATGAGGATGTCCTTCATCTCAAAGGAGATGTCTCACCTGTGTTGAGTAGTGGGTGACAGAGGAGGAATTCGAATGCCATTAAGACTGGCACCTTTCTGTATTCTAGCGGAGTACTGCTTAATATTCTCTCCCTTGAGATACTCAAACTGATCGAGTAACACCCGCTTTATCTCCTTAACCCACAAGTCCTTGACTTCTGACGATGGAGCCAAAATGGTGTGGACCTCTTGCCGTCCCTGAAGCCAGACCTCAAACTTTCGAACATCACCTTTATGGCCTCGCACACTTTCTGTTAAACCAACCTGTGACATCTGAAGAAAGTAACAGGAATAAGTTGAATAATAAGGTTATTCACCTCTTTATAATGAACAAAATATACAATAATTTGTTTCTGTACTGCTATGAATATAAAAACCCTAATATCTGAAAAGTAAAAGCCACAAACCCAATCACCCATGAGCATCCATACCTTCAGAGCATTTTTGAAATGGTAGGTGGCACGATCTGTATCCTTGCCAGTTCTCTTGGTGAAAAGTAGCATCTTTTCGTAAAGGAAAATGTGTCTTTGTGCTGGCTTCAGACGGAGCTCGCGAAGTCCCTTTTTGCTGTCATTCCACACACTGAAGGGGCCTTGCATGAGCAGCTTCCCCAGGTCTGCCAGATTGCCCTGCACAGAAAAAAATTTAAAAAACATATAAAGCTTCCGGGTAATTTCTAATTTGCAAACATATCAAAACGGACATGTTATAAAATCTTGAAGAAGGCTTGAAAAAGATCAACATATCAGTTTAATCATCACCAAACATCATAGATTTGAAATCTGTTTGCAATTATAACATCATAACTATAATGGGAAAAAATACTGTTACCTTGAAAATCAATAAGCTCAAGGAATACTTCTAACATATTAAATCAATATATAAGCGCAGGTCACACCCATTAATCAAGCAAGGTTCTTACCGGGAATCCTGTGATGGCAACCTGATGCATGGAGTCATTGAGGCACTTGAGGACTGTGAGCATTGTGTCGACCGCCTCCTGCAACTCCCGGCGACCTTGGCTACCTTCTACGCATTTCAGTAAGTCCTGTTTTGAAAGAGGGTGAAATTCATGGTACAACTTTCAACTTTCAATTACCTGCATGTAAGTCAATATATATGCCACTGAACCAATATTACCACAATAATAAGAAACACCAGTAATCACTGCCTGATTAAAAAGGACACCTATTCACTGGAGGAGACAAAAGAGCAAGCACATGGACAGATCCTAACCTTCAACAGGAGCTGATACTTTGTAATGCGTTGCACAGGCTTCAGAAGGTAGGCACCAAGTGGCAGTTTGTGATGGAGACGACGCTGACACTCTTTGAAAAATGGGTTTTGATCACCTACTTGCCGACGCAGTTCTTCACTTTGGGGCTTATTCTGACAGTACAGTGAGTACAACCGATGGAATGTATCCTTCTGCAGGTAAAGAAGTATGAAATTAGATATAATAAAGGTAAACTGCATATTTGAATGTACAAAATAATACTTTAAAGCAACAAAAGGATCCAATTAATTCTCTACATTCAGTATCTATTGAATTCTGCAAATATCAAGTATTTCTAACAACTGACAGTATCAACTATGAGAAACACATCTCACATGAGTTTTTCTCTGTACTCTGTTTTGAGTTTATCAAATATCCATACACTTCCTTGGTATTGCATAATTTCATTCAGAAGTTTTTAATTTAGTAAGTAAATGCCAGAAAACACTGGGCTCGAATAAGATTATTTCTTCTATAGGGCTGCCTAGTATTATTTAATGTGAGAAAAGTTAAAAGCAAACTGTACAATCTCAAAATTTAAATTCCATCCCTTATCCTAAATGAAAGATTAATTTTCATGTGGAGTTTCAGTTGTGGATTTCAAGCCTATGAAGAGAAAATATTCCTTTATCAATCTATTGAACCTTTTGCCTATTGGTGTGTATACACACGCATATGCACACGCAGTCTTCCAATGAACTCACCCTCTGGACAAAACAAAGACCAATTAGCTCTGGCGTATTAATGCAGTTCTCCAAATCCCGCAGGAAGACATCATTATGGAAGCGGAAGATATCCTCCATGTTGCCAAAGAGAATATCACTCTTGCCATATAGGTTGATGGGGATAAGAGGCTGCATTTCTGGGTTTAGCATTTCATCCTTGTAACCCTAAGGAAAACAGAAACATTGTACATGTAACATTTGGGATGTTCGTCCTAGATAGGTACATAACTTTTGAAGTTATCAAACATATCATCACCAGTTTTAAGAGAACTTAAAGTTGGAATTATGCAAGCATATTTTCTGTAAACAATACTTTAGTACTTTTTTCAACCAAATATAATCTATTTAGAAGAACAGAACACATAACACATAAGCAATGAACAGAAAACACAGATGCTTGGGTTATTTTACCTTGAGAATAGAGCAGAGTTCTGACACATAGATTCTCTCTGTATCTAGAAGTTCACGGAGGACATGGCCTCGTTTAGCACGTGCAGCTTCGGCATCACCAACCCAGTCAGGAGAATCTCCACTGTCACCAAGCTGTCAGAAAAGGAATTATGCATCAGGCTGGGTACACACATTTGTACAGAAATTCTGTTAAAAACATTTTGTTTCTCATTTTTCACTATGTCTTCTCCTAACAACCTTTTTCCAGGGGGTCCTTTGGATATTATATATAAATAAGTCAAGTGAATTATATTACAGATTACCTTTTGTGTTCTCATTCTTTCACTCAAATAAATCAAATATTGTCAGCCAGCAACAGTAAGGCATACAATTTCATTTCTCAACGAGCTGTACAAACGTGAAATGGCAAATTTTGGATGGCAGCAGAATTAAGAGACAAATGTGACCAGAGGTGCTGCTATGACATTTGCCAGGCAGAACATGCTGTTTCAAGAAGAGATGTAATCCCCATGTCCTGTCGAAGTTCTGGACCAACACTGGTTATTGAAGGAGATGCAAGCAACCCAATACAAAGTAAAATGAATAACAGCAACTTCATATTTTGGCATCCTAACATAAGAGAAAGTTAGAAACAATGAGGAGCATTGCATCAGTAAAACATACCAGTTTGTCTTTTGTTACATAATTAGTGTTACACTGACAAGATGATTTACTAGTAATTACAGTGGTATTACATGAATGACTATGATCATATCTCAGATCCAAAAAGTATGATCTGGAAAAAGTTTGGTGCAACATTATAAAAGTGCCAAAGTGACATGTCAGCTGAAAAATAAAGCTAATGCCATTCTTACATGGCCTAGCAATAAATATAATATGTTTTTCTAAATCATACCTAGATAAAAGTAGCATTGTTCACCAAAGAATGTAGAAACGCAAAACGTGTCTGAATGATCATAGTAATACTGTAGACCTTGTGCAAAATGGGGGTTTACCTAATACTGTGCAATAAAAGAGAAAATTTTAAAAGGTGAATGGAAAACATCATAAAAATGGCCTTTATATATACACAGTTTACATTATTGAATGTCAGGCTAAGAAAACTACAAAAAACATTCATGCATTTTAACACCAGTGGATCACCATTCAATATATGACAGCTGCTCCCATTGTTCATGTGTGAAGCCATACTGTAAGTGCTGTAGTTATACGTAACACCATAAAAATTCACCAGGAAATGGATAATCTGAATCATGGCTCACTTAATATGTATGAAATCATATCTACCAGCTAATGGACCCAATTTTATACACATTATCATAATAATTTCTAAGAAGGCCCTCCTGCCATTTTAACAAATCCCATATGGCATGTAAATTTGACTGAGAATCAGTTTTAATAAATCAGACATGTATGTACCATATGCTTTTATGCTGCCAATTTTCTGAGTATCTAGCTTGAAAATTATGCTGACCAACAATATGAATTATGACTGGCTAGAGACTGATGTCCAAGACAGTGTAAACCAAGGATTCAGCATCATTTAAACTGATACTTGTAAGTTCTAAGTTTTCTAGGTCACTACACTGCCCTGGGAACAGCTTCTTCACACCCAGGATTTAGGAGATTCATCACATTTAATCTGCGGCTGAGTGCTGCTAGAGCAATGGCGGTGCATCAGTGCTGGGAGAAGTCTACAACCACTGGCTAACTGGTACACAGAGAAAATAGTTGCCAGTCACTTACTTCTGTTGTTTGGTTCACATTAATCTGTAACAACTGGAGACTATGTATTACATGTGGGCCCATTAGGTATATTCCCGAAGGCTCAGTTGGAAATCTACATTCATCTCTCAGTGGTTCATGAGAGTAACTCTCCCTCCTTCTCACGACCCGAACACGCTGAGTTCCTATAGGAGCTTCTGAGATTGGTCTAAGGCACGTAACATCTTGTCCAAGGCAGACAGTGACTGGTCGTGGGCGATGCTTTGGTGCCTGGCCTCCAGCACTCAGGCGTAACATCTATTTTGAGGAAGAGCTCTGATAATCTCGACTGCAAGTCTTTAGAATCTCAAGTCTGTACAGTAGGTCAGAGTCTGGCTTGTCCCAACAGCCACGGACTTGCAGCTGACAACTACCACTTTGCCTGGAATCTTTCTTTTTATATATCTAACAATCTTGGACAAGTCATATATGATTTCATCAATTTCATAGCCTTGCCACATTTGCATGTGTAAATAGTTCTGCATGAGACAGGGCCCATCTAGCTAAAACTTACCTCGCAGTTTATAATTCAATTATCTTCTATAAATACTGGACACAAGGGCAAATTTCAGCTTCATATATTGTATAACAGGCTCTACTAAATGCCTTTATGTCAGAGATGGCTTTGAGTAGGTCCAATAACTGTATGTCACATAACCTTATCTCACAGAAATATAATAATCACTGCATAAGACTTTATAGTCTATACATTAATCATTAAGTCTGCAGCATTAAAACAACAGTGTAATTAAATTTTACCACTAATGAATAAACAATTGTATTATTTATTTTCAAACATTAAATGTCTTCTTAATTAACTAATAACCTGTCACTGATGGTTTTCTTATCATTTAAACAAAGTTTGTTTCTCTTTGGTTGAGATAAAAATAAACAGTATATCCTAATGCAGGTGTCCTACACAAGCCGTTTGCTTCCTTTTACGAGATTATTATTTTTACATTCGTATGTTATATCTATTTAGTGAAACATGAACAAAACAAAGTCTTTACTTTAATAACTTTAAACATAAATAATCATCGAAAGAGTGTCTCAGCAGGGGATGAAATACTTTTGCCTGTATTTATAACAAGCATCACAGCAGCTTGTATGGAACTGATTGGAGTTCTGTAGAGTTGAGATATATTCAAATCATTATTAGGGCAAGACTATTTAGTGAACTTTTAGAATGTACAATTTACAGAATTTAAATCACAAGGTAAGAAAGTCTATCCCTGGATATTGAAAGGGAAGGACATCATTTTGGAATCAATGAGGTTTTTATATAACAATGCTTGCTTTAATGGACTTCAAAGACCAGCACTTACAAAACTGTTTCAGTGCAATGGAGAGCCCATGTTGCAATATAGCAAATTGTGTGACTATATCAGAATCAAATATCTTTTATAATTCTTGCCTCTTTATCTGCATCTGGCAAAGGCTTCAGGCAAAACCAGCGATGCCACCAACAACAATTTTTACCTCCCTTGAACCAGACTCCACCACTCATGAGAAGCAACATTCGGAAAGGGAATACAACAATAATTAGTGTGCCAAAGATGGAACATGATCCACTGCAGCTCGTTTCTCCATCTGGGACATACACTGACAGTATACGAAGAGGTCAATGAATAAAAGCAGTGACACACATCCAAGCACAACATAGACACTCACCTTGGGTAAAGTTGATGCTTTCCTCATGCTTTTGGGACTTTTAGGGAGGTCCGCATGGAGGGGAGATGCTGGGTGAGAGTGTGGGTGAACATTGGCATGCCCTTGTGGGTAGTGGAGTGGGACTGCGGGCTCTGGTGTCACAGCATGCACGGGTCGAGGCAGACGAGTGGCCAACTTCTTTAAGGAACTCTTTCGCTTTTCACACATCATTTGTACATCTTCTATACGTTTCAGTACCTGAATATTACACACTCTGTTAGGATATTTTCTTTGCGGAATAATCTAAAAGCAAAGCAAGTGAGATATCAGCATTATAATGGTGCCAAATAAGCTGGGCTGATTAATAGGAAAAATAATCATTTGATTTTCTCATTTGATATTAATTAATTTTTGGATTTTATATAGCTTCAGGTATTGATATTTTTCCCAAAGGAAAAAAATAAAGGCAAAAGCAAATGAAATGTATACTGATAAGCACAGGCCAAAAATAGGATAAAATCTTCTCACCTGTTGCACTAAGCCCTTCGTTTCAGGGGTGATGACATCCTCAAACATAGTCCTAAGTTCACGACTGGTTCCCAGCCGACTGTACTCAGAGGAAGCCAAAAATTCATCCAATTCCCTAAGAGCTTCCTCGGCAAATTCTGGGGCTTGACATCGCTCTATCTGCTGTGAGGCTAAGAGTTCCACACCTTCTGTGCACCACTTATTTGCCTGTAATATCCCAAAATAATTTTGTTTCATGTTCAGCCGCTCTCGTCCTCTCCATATCTATTTCTATTTTTTCTATCACTGCTGCTTACTCATATTTCTTCTTTCTATTAAAATCAGTAATTATCTACTATCTTTTTCCCTTTACAAGGATAACTAGAAACATCTTTTGCTCTTGTTAAACAGGTGAGAAGCAGCAGTCTAAAAGCTGTTTGTGTCAATGTAAATAAACAGAACAATAATTCCAAGTGTCTGATAAAGACTTAATCATATTAAACCTCAAAATTATTTAATTTCTTGAATTAAGTTTTTTATTTACATATACAGCAATTTTAGCCCATGTTAGACTCACCTGTTCAATACGCTCTTGCAAGTCTCGGCACTTGTGTAACGTTTCCAGTCTGTTAGTTATGCGGTCGTGGAAAGCGTCCCTCATCCGTACTAGCTCTACGCACTTTGGCTGAATGGAGTCCACGGCATAATGCTGACTTTCAATCAACTGTGTGCCAATGATGCGTAGCTCCTCTGCTTTTTCCAGCTGGTCCTGCACAGAGGAAGATGGTTCATTTATGCTTTGTATTTAGTATAGTTTATATAACTACATATTGCAAAATCTGATGTAAGTTAACATTTTATTCATGCAGTCTTATACAAAGGTTTTCTTAAATACAGAAAATCTATCTTATGGGATCCTACAAGTAAAAAAAAGCTGAATATGTCATTTACATAACTAGAATAGTACTGAAATCGTACAGAAAATTTTGCACACTCGGTACAAGGAGTTGGGAAGGATTAAGGAAACCCCTGTCGCTTCATCGAATTGTTAATGTTAATTGTTAATTGCTACTATAATAATGACTTATTATAGCTGTATATTCATTTTAGTACTTAATTATTAGGAAATATGACATCAATCAATGAAACAGATGTCAAAATCATTATAAAATATGTTTTCTTTTGCAAATTTGTTCTGACCAAAGATAAGCTATCAAAGAAATATGTAAAAGTCAGGAAAGCAAACACAAAATCTAGTCTCATCACTCTGTTGAAAGATGTAAAACAAAATTTTTGCCTTGAATGAGAAGCTTCACATCTGAGCATTGTAAAAAATAAAAATTCATGAACAAGAATGAGCAATTCGTGAATGCAAGGAACGTAACATACATTGCTTGGTGGAATTATTTTCTCTCACTCATACCTTTCAATTCATTTTTATGCAAAGAAAGAAGAACACTTACTGCAGTCATCATATGGAAATCCTGAGCTTCTGCTAATAGCTGGTCTACATGGTGTACAGAATCCCCAATCTCTGACATTGCGGACAACTGCTTCAGTGAAATTTCCAGGCATTGCTGAAAGAGTATGTCATGTTACTTCACTTTGTAAATGAAAAAAACACCTCATGAATTAATTCAAAGTACTTCTCTGAAAATTATAGACTGTACTGTTCCCTCTAAAGTTCTTGGACTGTCTATAAGGATAGAAGGCACTCACTTGCAGTTCCCTAAAGTCTGTCTCAAAGCGTCTCAGCTGGAGGCA